ATCCTATCCTTTTGGAATAGGCACAGCTTGGACCAAACCTGTATTTCAGGCCAGCAATACGCAAGGTCATCCACGAAGGGGATACCACATAATAAACTTTAAAGTAGGTTCAGGACACAAATTGTCCAAAGCCACGTCCTGTTGAAATGGCTGGGAACCTGGGCCTTTTGGTAATATCAAAGGTGTGCAGCAAATGAAACACCAACATGCCTATGCTTATTATGTTAAGTCTTGTACAAGGAAATGTTTTAATATCTTCACCCTATTTCCTTAAAAAAAATCATTCTGAAAAAATGCAGCTCCTAACAATAGCTTTGTATAGTCAGGGACTATGGCAAAGAAGCCCATCTCCATCTCCAGTGCTGTTGAGATCTGCAATCGGAATGGAAAGTAGTTCTTTCCCTTTGAAATCCTTGCACTGCTCTCTGAGTTCCATGGTGATAGGCATAGCATAAGAACAAAAGAGCCAGCACATGGCTTATACATTACTTAAGCCCTTAAAATAGGACTTGAGTAGAATTTAACAAGGTAAATAGACTTTGTGCTGGCCCTTTGTAGAAAGATGAATTTTACCCAGTGTCAGCAGTTAGCTGAAAGATTGGTTTTAACCAACCAATCTGATATCTGGACTAAATTGTTTAGGCTTCATTTAGCTTTCAATTCACTGACAGGTAAAAAGGATTTTAAACATACTTCCACATCTTGCTAAATCAGAATTAGCGAAGGCTGCACTCCACATTTTATTCTTCTGCTGCCCCTTTGTATCCAAGAAGCTACTGAGCCCATCATAAACAAACAGTTTCAGGGACCAAATGCAAGCAAAACATCTTTAAAGTAACTAGAAACACTGAACTTTCAAAACAAAAACCCATTAGCAGCAAAGATTAAATATGAAACAAAAAGAACTAAGTACATGGGATATTACACTTTTTTAAAAAGCTAATTGAATGTGATTGACTTCTAATTTTTCAGTATGTTAGTTTTACCATTAAAAAGTCCAGATTTATTTAGTATATACATTTAGATCCAATATTTCATTTCTGATTTTGCCAAATTTTCACAAGTAGCAAATTTGAAGCAAGGAGGTGCATATTACCTCTCCTGATCAAGATAAATTAACAACTTAGTATTTTATTCTTGAGGGAGAAGAGCTTCTATTATTTAAAATTACATGGGAGAGATTCTAGAGAATCTTCTTTAATAAATGTTATAAAGAGTATTTGGTGTTAGTGAAAAATGCAGGCTTGACCGTTCAGGAGACTAAAATCCTGTTTCCATCCACGTTAACAAGTGATGCTTAGGCAGCAGCCGTGAAAGCATTCTCAAATAACTCCAACTCTCAATGTAGAAGAACCTGCATTAGGCCTAGAAAATAATTCAGTTTCGATGATCTTTCAACTCCTTGGCCTCTTTACTGAAGCTGCCAACAATGGTACTTTGAGCCTGCTGTGATGTACATGCATATGCAGTTAAACCAGACTAACTGCCAACTCATTTCACATAGGTCAAACCACCATCAAATGGCAACAACTTCCAGTGAGTGCTGCCCTGGGCAAACTCCTATCAACATCACAGAGATGAAATGCCTCATATTTAGCTGAGCTTTAAAGGACATATACTCAACTGGATGGCATTTCTATGTGTGTATGTAACATGGTAACTTTCAAACACCACATATGATCAATTCCAAAATTTCAGGGAATATTCTACGCTTCAGTGGCCAGAAACCTATTCCTGTTGCGGAAAATTGAAAATCAAAAAGGGGAAATGGGGGATATATGGAGCTCCTGCCCTCTGCTTAGCACAGCCACAGCTTCAAGGATATCTGCAATTGTCTCAAACTGGCTGATGACACTCATTAATGTCTTCAGGCATAACATTACCCCATCTCATTGCATCCTTCCAATAGAGTTTAACACATTGACAATCTGAATTACTTATCTCAGAAAAATAATAATGGGGGTCAGGGCAAGAAGATGTGCACACAACCATTGCTATAGGGGAGAGGAAATGGGGCTCTACATAGCCACTGGCAAGAGAGAAGGGGGGACCCTGATAATGCAGAAAAGGGTCGCACAGAACCTTTGATGTGTGTGGGGGAGCAGAACACTGGACTCTGGTATAGGGCAGGAGGGAATGCCCCCTCTTCATCCCTAGAACCACTGGCACAGACGGAAGAGGGACACACAAAGAGCTTGTCCCGTAGAACAGAGGAATACAAGGAGTCCCTGATGCGTGCGGTAAGCTTGGCCTCCGCAAGCTACAAAATGTGTGACCCCCTCCTCTATTAATCCACTGAGCCATTCAGTTTCCAAACTACCATCAAATTACATTTTTCTTTTTTGCAATAAATTTATAAGACTCAGAGTTCACTCTAACGGTTTGGTGTAAGGTACTGACTGCCCTCAAGTCCCCAATCAATGGTAATTAACGGCATTCAGCATATTGAAGGAGGGGGCTCAATGCCTTGCAGGATGGAGCCTCAAAAACTGCAATCGTCAGAAGTTAAAAAACCTTGAGGGTACAAAAATATTTTGACCACTGCATCGGTGAAGATTACCTGACCTCACTTATGCCAATTAGTTTTTAAATGTATTAAACAGTCTGGTAATAAATCATGAAAATGGAAGTGCATAGTGGTAGTGGCGAATAAACAGCAACTACAATTGTACAATAAAGACATTACATTGTTTGCAGTTTTGTAAAAGGCTGCACAAAAGTCTAGGTAACATTTTATTAATCACTTGCTGAATTCAAAATATTGTTTGTGCAAATCTGAAGGGTTAGAAGTCAAATAAGAATCTGCAAATCAGTTACATAAGGGAAGCACAAAATCAATGTCAAACATCTGCTTCCTAGGTATATTTTAAAAATGCATTTCAGATATAAAGCACAATATAGGTTAACTCTTAGAATAGTCTCTGCACTGCTCTTTACAAATAAATTTCTTAAATGTTTTGCTCCTGGGTAAAAGGAGATTTAATGAATTTTTTGCTCATAGGCCAATTTTAAAGGCTCAGATACAAATTTTACATATGCCAATATCACAGTATTCCTAAAAAAGTGTCCTATTATGTCCAAAATAAAGGAAAAATGAACTACCTAGAAATATATTAACTAGGTATGGGCTTGTCTACATAGCACAGGCAATGCAGGCTATGGGTTGTGATTTCTAAAAGTGCTCTAACGTGTTGTGCTCTAACTGCCTAATTCAAGTTAACGGTCTTTCAAACAGGAAAAGTTTAACACAAACGAGGTACCTTTTAGAACATGGCAGCAGAATTTACATGGGGCAGTTAGAGCATAGCACATTAGTGCATTTTACAAATCACACCCCTGTGGCACGCTTTGCCATACTGTATAGGTAAGCCCTATGTCTTATTAAGAAGGTACAGCAGTAAGGTTCAGACTATGGCCCCAATTCTACTCACTTATACTGATTTTACACCAGTATAAATGGAGTAATCCTGACACACTGACTCTCTATACCTGCAATGAGCTTGAGGTAATTTGAAACAAGAAATATTAGTATTTAGGTTCCTGATCATCCAGCTATTATAGCCAACGGGGAATTTTGCCACTGACTTCAATGGAGCAGGAGCTGGTCTTTAGACAACAGGGCACATGCTGTGTTACAGAATAGAAGAAAAGATTTTTGGTTTTATAAAGCCATTGTGAATTTTATAAAGAGAATGGTGAATGGGGGTTGAAATTATCAAGAGTATCCAAAGTGCCAGTCTTTGATTTCCCTTCCCTTTTTAAAAAGGTGAGTAGGTAATCTTAATGCCATAAATTGACACAGGACTGGGGCATTACTGTAGAAAACATTGCTGGATTGTCACTTAATACGGCTAATAGTATATGCCTTATACACACTCGCCTGAAACCAGTGAGTACGTACTCAGTCGAGCTCAGCAGTGCCTCTGCTGCTGCCATGGTACCATGGCTATACTGCTATTTATACACGCGCTAGTCCCATGAGAGCTAATGTATGTGTACGTGAGCAGGGGAATCACACCCATAGCTCACAGTGTAGACACAGCCTTACATCTATTTTACAAAGAAGAAAAGGAAACTAAAGAATGATAGGTGTTATGTTTGTCCATGTATAAATAGGGCCACTTTCTGAGTATGATAGAAAACAATCACCATGTGTTTCAAAGTACATTACCAGATCAGTTTTAAAAGACTGTTCTTATTTGTAGCAAAGATTTACTATTTCTTCCCTTACTCTGTCCCTTCAAAAAAACAAAACAAAACAAAAAAAAACAACCCTCAACCTTTCTTCTACCTCAATGTCCTTATTTTTATTCACCAATGTCTCTATTTATTGCTTTTAAGTGGTGGCTGATATGGAATTATGTCAAACATGTAGGTTTTTATTTTAATAAAAATCAAGATTTTAGAAAACTTAAAATTAATAAAAATGTTTCAACAAATTTTGTTAAAAATTCCAGTGGAAAGCACATTTTAATTAGTTCAAATCTTTCCCTGCACATGTTAGCAATCTGAATATTCTGGTCATGCATGGGAGCTAGCAATCAAAAACGGACTAGAAATGAACTAACCACAAAAGTTTAAACAACTAGTCTATTTTCTTGGTCCAACTTGCATAGAATGGAAATAGTGAAACACCATTAATTGCAAAAAACAACATGTAGATTTCCCTCCCACCCCCAAATATTTCATTTTAATAACCTAAGGTGTGGATATTTGTGAATAAATGTACTTTTAAAATATATAGATTTTTTTTTTAACCTGACAGTATTGTAAAGCACACATAGGATAGATTTGAAAGGTAAGCAATCCTAATCTTTCAGGGTAATGAAAGCTGAATGCACTAACTCCTCAGTCGCTACTAGAGGAGTCTGAACTATCAGACGATGAATGTTTTTCTTTTTTCTCTTCTTTTTTTCTTTTTTGTGATGTTTTCCTTTCTTAGATTTACTCTTTTTCTCCTTTTTCCTTTCTTTTTTGTGGGATTTCTGTTTTTTTGGTTTTGGATCTTCTTCTTCAGTGACACTTGATGAATAAGATCTGTTAAAAAAAACAAAATTAATACGGATTACGTTATCAATCATATATTCACTTTATTTTTCTTTCTACACTGAATTTAATGCTGGAAATTGTATAAACACATGAATTCGTGCAGTCGGTATAGAGGTTGTCTACTCCAGCCTGTAATGGGCAAATCAATCAAATCCATGCTCATCCAAACTTTGGCCTCTCTGATGAGGCTGCCTCACCAGGAAAGCAAGGAAAGCACTCCTTAACTAACAGTGTTCAGAAATGTGTAGGTTATGTTTGGAAAGAGTTAGTTACTCATCCTTGTAAATTAATTACTAATTGTATCTTACTGGTTTAAACGTTAATTTTATTTCTTTGCTCTGCCTACAGCATTTTCCAAAATATGGAATGTAGACAGTTCAAGGTTGAAACTTTATTGATAGGCAAATGATCTTATATGTTTAGGTCTTTAAAAAATGGATAGAAAGCAGGAAATCAAGGCACATAACGAGTTGAAACCTTGACCAGAAAACCTACAGTAATAAAATCTAACTTAATACCTTAAAACAAATGGCTGTACTACCATTCCCGTTCCCACAATCCCTGCCAATTCAGAGAGCAGATGTTACAGATGCAAAAGATATATACATTTTCATTAAACTGAATTGTCTGTTTAATAAGAGATAAATCTGGTGTGACATTTAGAATATTTCATGAATATGTAGTAACTTGGTTTTAAGTACAAAATTTAATAATGCAATTGGGGGGAGGGGGGAGAGGAAGTCCTCTTTACCTTACTTGATAATAGCTTCATAAACTTAATTGTTACTACTTGTGAAAGTAAGGTATGCAGGATTTGACTTCTTCATAGTAATAGTCAAAGTGCACTAGGGAACTTTTAGTGCAAACTAGCAGGGTCCACAGAGACAGTGTGCAGAATTAACATAGCTACACCTTAATGCCCCAACTGACTTCAATGCGGGTACTCACAGTGCATAAAGTTAAGCTCCTGCATAAATCTTTGTAGGAACAGAGTCTTAGTATGGTGATTGGTAGACTATCAAGCAAATAAAGTATTATTTTAAATTCTCATTCTACATAGTTTTATTTTGTTGTTTAGGGTAAACAAGAGTTTTCTTTTAGCATTTGTAATTGCAATGTCAAATCACTTTTTAGCCATGTTCCGGATTTGTATGCAAAAGATTAGTAGTATGTTTAGTTTTATAGGGTAAAAATTCTGTATCAGACATTCAAATTTAGTATATGTGCTTTTGTAGAAGCAAAAATAAAGGTTAACGTGCACAGGCTATAACAATTTGGTAAGTATATTTTGGACTTTAAAATATTAAGAAAATTCTGTTTTGGGCTTAATTAGGTATTTGTAAGTTACCTTTTCCTTAATTTCTTTGATTTGGATTTTTCTTTGCTTATTCTTTTTAGAGTCTTCTTTTCCTCCTCCTGACTTGTATCTGTGGATATAAAAATTGCATTTTATACAAAATATTTTTCCTTTTCAACTTCAAAATTAATTTAAAAACTCTCACTGAAATCAGTAATTTTTATTGCTAATGTTTGTTTCAAAGACCAAAACATTTTGTAACCAAGTGCTATTTTGCAGGTTCATTTAAAATATTTTGCAGAGCAGCTGCACTTTGGTTACACAACTCACATTGTAAAGGACCTGCAGCTAAGTACTGAGAATAAAATTAGGTATGTGAAACATGGCCACTTTTTCTTTCTTTTTTTTTGTTGGTGTGCTTCAGTGGCGCTCCGGCCGCTTTTTTTTCTTCTTTTTTTGTGTGTGTATGTGCGCGCTTTGGCAGCGCTCCAGTCGCTTTTTTTTTTTTTTTTGGTTGCTTCAGCGGCATTCTGGCTGCTTTTTTTTTGGCGCTTGGGGTGGCAGGAGCCACCTTATGTTCGCGTTATAGCCATATTCAAGTTATCGCAGGGCGCATTATAGCGGGGTTTCCCTGTACCTTCTAAAAATGAAACCTACATCTATCTCTGAGTTGTGAAGAATACGTATTAAGGTTATAACAATAAACAAGAACGCACTTTAACGAAGAAATCCATGATTTAATTGAATCTTTCTGACTTTCTTCCACCCTGCTTGGAAACAAGCCCATTTTATTTACAACCCCATCTGGAACTCTTGGCTTCTTCTCTCATCTGTTCCCTACCTGGAATCAAGTGTCCTCTGTGATGTTGGGCCTAGTTGCCAGACTCTAGGCAGAGATTTTATGTTCCTCTGTCTGGGCAATCCTAGCTTAACCTGCCTCCTTCTCACATTTCATTTGCTTCTTGAGTTAATTTAAATTGGAGTGAAGTGGCATCTTGGGCAGCTGTTGCAAGGCTGTTAAACCCTTCATTTCTTAGGATGTATGTACCCCACACCTGACTATCACACAACTGATTTAAAAAAACAAAAACACTTTCCACAAAGGAAGGCATCCTTTTAAGGATACTTTAAGCCAGTGCATCTTAAACTACCCACAGACCACCGTGGATGCCATAGAAAGGTATCCTTAAGTAGTAAGACTTTATCCTAGGAACTCAACCCATGTACTCCCAGGAGGGGAAGCCCTGCTGAGAGTTTACTTGGATCAATCATCTGAAGACTGATACTGGGGTAGGGGAGATGGTATTGAGGATGTGACATCATTCCATAACCATGAAGATATCATCACTAAAACAGCTGATAGCTGAGATTCCAAACAAGCAATAACAAAATTGTATAAATAGAGAAAATACACATCTAGTTTACAGGCAGATTTCAGTTTTAAGAGATATTAGTAACAAAGATATGTAAAACTTATAAATTCAAAATTCATAATATTAAGGTTGCTAGTGTTTATTTTAAGTAATTCCGTAATATCAATACCATGACACCAGATGCAAGGATGTATCATATCTGATTATAATACTTCCTTCAGCCTTTGAATTAGATGTTTCCCAGGAAACATCTAATCTACCTTTTAATGCTGAATTTGTCCATCCAATTAAAATCATGTGTGACCATCATTCTTTTCTGTCAAAATGACTTTTGAGGTTTAGCGGAACAAGCAGCAGGAAGTGGGAGACATGTTTAAAAAACTGGGAGAGAAAACATTCCCAAAAAACCCAGATGAGTTTTCAAAAATGCTGTATAGAGCACCTACAACTTAAGGAAGAACATTTATACTAGATAGGGATAACACAATATCCTCTAAACATCTACATACAACTAACTGTTTCTCTCTAGGGCTACATTTACCTTTGTGTTTCCTAAATGAGTGTCCATTCAGAGCCATGGTTTCAGAAATCCCTAGGTCCACAAGTACACAGTTTTTCTGAACAACTTAGTTCCTATCCACAAGTTCAAAAGAAAGGCTTTTTGGGAAAGCAAATTCAGCAACTCATTTTGCCAAAAGAGGTCCTAGCATTTCTTTTGAAGTGTTCTAGCAATACAGGAGGCTATGTTGGAAAACATCTCTCTACCTCGCCTTCCTAATGTCATCAGAATAACCACTTCACAGAGTATGTTTACACAGGAGTTAGAGGTGTGACTGTGGCTCATATAGAGATACCCAACCTAGCTTTAATCTTGCTAGAGTGAGTACCAATAACAGTGAGGTCACAGCAGCAAGGATTTCAGCATGGGCTAGTTGCCCGAGTTAGTACCAGAGTCCCAGGTGTGCTTGCACATCCCATGCTGACACCTGTGCTGCCGTGGCTTCACCGTGCTACTCACACTAGCTAGATTAAAGATAGCTTGGGTATGTCTACACCTGCTGCACCTCGATTGCAGTATAGATATGCACACAGATAGGGTTTTGATTAGGAAGTGGAGGCAGGGTCTAGAATAAGAGAGCAATAATAATGCAAATGAGTAAAAAACATTAAGAAAAGTGCATCCATATCTAAAACACATATTCTAGCTCCCAGAATAACAAAGACTAACTGCAAAGTAACAGCAGAATATCATGCCCCAGCATTCCTAAATTGGGGGCTCACAGTATGCTAGAACAGACTCCCATCTGGGACCTTTTTGTAGGTTGAAACCTTAGCCCTCCTGCGTCATCTTCTGATCAACTTGCGTACTGTGGACTAATTAACCCCACCTGGTTTTCTCTTCCTCTATAGAGGCTGAGCTTCATTTCCCCAAGACAGAGAGCGAGCAGTTATCCCTCCAAATGTTAACTGTCAAATCAAAACTATTAGCTGCATTCAAACAAAATAATGCTTAAGAACTAGAGAGAAGAAACAGACTGAACAAAGAAAAGCATTTAAAGAGGCATCATTTACTTGGGGGAAGGAGAGAAAAAAAAAGAATTGTTTCAGCTTTATGCAGTAAACAAAGGATAACATCAATGAAATAATGTATATTACTTTCCCTGCAATGGGCATTTGCACATTCCAAAACTCACAATCTTTTGGATTTAAGAGCCTAAATGTAGGCACCCATGCTTGAAAATCTTGGTCAAATGTTTTTAAGTAGAAGCTTTTCTCATTTTTCCACAAGGTGTCAGGGGGGTCTCAAATCTCTTCAGCCTGGAGCCATGCCATAAAAGCAATTTTTTTAGGTCACTGGATAAGACAGAGTAAAAAGTGAACTCTACAGGAGTTAAATGACAGTTACAGGACTTTAAACAAGATAGCTTCCCAATTTAGGATTATGCTCTGTTATTTAAAACATACTCTTTTTCTCTGGTAAGGCCTGCAGTTTCCCCAGCTCCTCTTCCTCGCTGTCTTCACTGCTCGTACTGCTAACGTCTAAAACAATGTCTCTTTTGGGGTCCACCCGGAGAAAGTTTCTGCATTCAAATGTCAGATGACCAGCTGAATAAAAATCAAAAAAGAGTAAGCCATGAGCAGAAATACTTCAAATTATAAAATAATGTTAAAGAGTTACTGCTTTGTGCTGAGAAATGTGTTTTCCCTTCCAGTGACAAATTATATCTGCAGTAACCAAAGGTTATCAACTAAGAATGTGTACGTATACTATGTCATTCATTATTTTCTAAAACATACGTGCATCGGTGTGAGTTTCTAGTGCTTTATAGACACATTAGGAAAAAGGAATTTGAAGCTAGCTTACACTGAACTTATACTGAAACATGAGGATTGAACCAGGAAGGTAGATGTGGGGTGGAAGCAACTGCTTGCCATTAAAAAAAATCTCAATATATTCTTTCTACGATCAGCTCAAAAACAAAATTCCAGGATAAAGGTGAAATGAACTAACGATCCTCTCCCAATTACTGTAACAAGCGATAACATTTCTATCTTAGAGATAATAGACTAATTCCTTTTTAATGCAGTCAATATTATAAATGCTATTCATTAAAGCACCCTTTGTCTGCAGCAGCAGTTATCCGTAGCAATGTGTATTTTAAAGAAAATTAGGGGCCAAAAATCCTAAGTTTGTATCCAGGCAACAGAAACTCCTAACTCATCTGAAATAATGGACCTGGGGAAAAATGTGAAAAAAGGGAGCTCCAAATCTATGATAATTTGTAAAGCTGTCAGCTGAAAAAATAATTTAGCCCCATATAAAAGGAAAAGGCTGCTAGAAGTCTCAACAGGAACCAGGCTACTTACTGCTACAAACACAGCTTCTTCACATCAAAGATAATCTCCTGAAGACAAAGCAGTAGGGAACATTAAAACAGAATAGGTTACTTGGCTTTCCTAATTTCTTTCATATCCAGAAAGTTTACAACACTGCACATATTAAACAATTAATTCTATACTAACATCTAATTGCCTTCAGAGGCGTTGACAAGTAAAGCAACGCAGTGTCAAAACTTGCTGGAAGAAAGTCTACTCTCTCTCTCACCATGTAACCTTTTTCTAAATCAATTAAAAAATGGTTTGAAAGGTTTGTCAACAAAATGTTCATTAATAATTAAGGGAATAATTAATTACTTAAATAGTATCAAACATGTAATAAGAAGATTTAGTATTAATTTTTTTAAAGATAGACTAAAGATAGATAGCAAAGCCCACAGGTAAGTGGGGAACATGGAGACCGGGGAGATGGGTCGGAAACGAGAGGGAGTGTGGGCTATATTGGCA